TTTGTTTTCGTTGTCTTTAAATGCAGCTATTCGGAGGAAGGAAAATGGCTGGTATGACGAGGAGCACCCGCTGGTCTTTCTTTTCTTGGGATCATCTGGAATAGGTAACGTTTGGGTCGTGGTGAGAGGGACAGAGAGCCCCGCGGAGAGGCCGGGCTGGGAGAGGGGGGCTGCCGGCAGGGCTGCTCCTCGGGCTCACCACGTGCCCGCAGCGCTTTGCGCAGGCTCCGCGTAAAATCCCAGTTAAAAAGTGCCGTCCTCCTTCCAACCGGTCGCCCAGTCCGTGGTCCCCGCGGGGCAACCACCGCCGGACTCCAGCACGCAAGGGCCACGTCCCGTGCCGGGGCGCGAGCAGCCTCACACCCGATTATCCCGGGGGACCGCCTGCCCCCCGCCTCTCAAGAAGGGGCAGTTTTCACCGTGAAAGTGTTATTTTAACAGCCCTGGGCTTTCCAGTAGGGATGCCTCCGTGGGTGGGGTAATAGTAGAAATTTGCTGCTTGCAGACCGAGTCTCTGCTCCTCCTGCTCCTGTGGGCCAGGATTGCTTTGTAATGACGGGATTTTATTGACACCGATAATATTGGTCCTCAAGCACAATAAAATGCAGCGTGACAGCTGATCAGTTCACGAAACGGACAAAATGACTTTTAGTCAGGGGGGGAAAAAAAGAAAAGAAAAGAAAAGAAAAAAAAAAAGCGGGTTTAAAGTAACCGGACTGTGACGTTTGAAAGAACCTCGGTGCTTCTCCTGCACCCGCTGCCTCCCGCAGTCCTTGGGAAGGTGCCGGTGCTCAGGGGTTAATGCAACGGGACACACGCAACCCCTCGCTGCCTGACCAGGCTCCTGCCTCAGAGCCGCCGGCAGGCCAAGTATTAACTCTAAATGAGTTGCCATAAAGCTGTGTAAAAACAGCGAGGAATGTTTTTGAGGCTTCATTGCACTGCTTCTAGCAGGCCTGGAGGCTCGGTAATGCAAACTGTCAGCTCCCAGGTATTTCCGTGGGGTTTGGGGTTTTTTTTTTCCTTCTTTCACTGCCGTAAAAATGAATATTGAAATAAGAAAGCAAAGCAGCTGAGAATTTTATTGTATCAAATGGGTATTTTATACAGGTCTTTGGTGTAACAGCAGTCTGAAAGCCCAAATATGCGCAAACTAAAATACCTGACGTGTCTTCACGTTTCAGCGGGCTCCCGCAGCAGTTAAGCGCTTTAAAGGTCCGTTGGCGTATATGTGTATATATACAACGTGTGTAAGTGCACAGGTGTAGCCATGTGCTTACGCGTTGGGATCTACAGCGTGGCAACACACGACGTCAGCAAAGCTTGGACTGAAATAAGATGCTAAATTTGGGCAGAGATCTTACCTGCCAGGGCGGGCTCCCGGCCGCAGCGATGAATTCCCGCTTCTGCAGCCCTTTTGCGGTGATCTAATTAAACCATCCCGCAGGCCTGACCCACCGACGCTATCGCCACCGAAATACAGCTGTGTCGGCCTGGGGCAGATGCGTGGTACGCCAGTGAGGCTGGCCTTTTTTTGGTTGTTTTTTTTTTTTAGCTGGTTTGGTATTTAAGAGACGATCTCTTCGTGGAGCCGTAGTTGTTTGCGGCGCCTCTGCGTGCCTGCTGCCCGCCCTAACGCCTCGGGGCGTTTATTTTTC